TGGCGGGTGAGAGCAGGTCTGGGAGAGCACCCGCTGAGCACTGCAGCCAGGGGATGGCGTGCGCAGGGAGAAGAGCTGGCTCGTGTCGCAGGTAGGGGCCTCAGCCCCAGGGGCCCTTCTGAAGCTTTGCCCAGGCTGTGTCTCCTCCCTGGCTGCGGTGCCAGCATGGAGGCGGGGGGGGGCAGAAGGGGATGGAGACAGGGAGGGCAATGTGGGATGGGAGGGTGAGGAGAAATGTACTCTTGGATGTGTAGGAGGAGAGACATGGGCACCAGGGGGCATGGGGGAGGCATTTGGTGGGGGATGGAGAGGTCCCTCGGTGTCTGGGGGCTTCATAGCAGCAGGGGCAGTGATGCAGCTGGCGTGAGATTGGAGATGGGGCCGTGCTGGAGTCGGTCGCAGCACCTCAGCTCTCCTGCATGCTCCCTCCATCCCTGGGCACATCCTGGGGGTGCAGGCAGAGCCAGGGCTGTGCCCCCACCGGGGCCCTCCCCGCACAGCCTGGGTACCCTCCATCCCCATGGGCCACAAGGGAAACCAGCCTCAATGGGCTGGAGCTGCTGCTGCTAAAGGGGGGTCCCCCAGGACAGAGCAAGGCAAGTGGTCAGCTGCTCCGAGACCTGGTGAATTTGTAGCATCCTTGGCCCGCTCCCAGCTCTGGACCGAGCTGCCTGCCCTGCTCAGGGAGGCAAAGGCAGTGCTGGGCTGTCCCGGTGAGCTCAGAGAGGGTGTCCAGGACAGAAGAGAGGGACAGTGGGATGGAGCGAGCAGAAGATGGGAAAAGAAAAGATGCCTGACAGGCTGGGGCATGACAGAAAACAGGCAGGGTGTTTGAGGCAAGGATGAGTGGTGTACGTTACCTTCTGGCTTGTGCATGTTGTTGTATGTCTGCCTTGGACCTATCTTCACACCCTTAACCACTTTCAGTCTCCCTCCTACCCCCAAGTGGGAGATTGCTTTATTTTTGCCCTTCAGTGCTGGAGCGTGTCCAGAGGAGAGCAGCAAAGCTGGTGAGGGGTCTGGAGCACAAGTCTGATGAGGAGCGGCTGAGGGAACTGGGGTTGTTTAGCCTGGAGCAGAGGAGGCTGAGGGGAGACCTTATCGCCCTCTACAGCCACCTGAAGGGAGAGTGTAGTGAGGTGGGGGTCGGTCTCTTCTCCCTGGTAATGGGCAATAGGACGAGGGAAAATGGCCTCAAGTTGCACCAGGGCAGGTTTAGGCTGGACATTACGAAAAATTTTTTCACCAAAAGGGTTGTCAGTCATTGGAATGGGCTGCCCAGGGAAGTGGTCGAGTCCCCACCCCTGGAGGTATTTAAAAGATGGGCAGACGAGGTGCTTAAGGACGGTTTAGTGGTGGGATGGCAGCATCAGGGTAACGGTTGGACTTGATGATCATAAAGGTCTTTTCCATCCTAAATGATTCTATGAAGGCTCATTTTCAAAGCACCCGTTTAAGTCCTTTACCTTGCGGCTGTGGCTGCCTCTGCCTCAGCACACCGGTTTCCAGCACGACCTCTGGGTGGCATCCAAAGATGCGCAAGTGGGGCCGCGCCGGGCTTCTCTGCCTTTGTCTGGTGTGTGAGCCGTACAGACGGCTGCATGGAGTGGGATGAGCTGGACTTGCCTTACTTCAGGCAACTGAGAACACAAGCCTCTGCCAAGGCTGATAATTAATTAAGTGCTCTTAGAGGAGGATGCCGGTTCACTAACTAAAGTGAAAAACTGAAACCCTCATTTAGCGGAGACAAAAGAAAGGTTTCTTTTCAAGATTTTCAAATTTTTCCTGGAAGAGCTGGGGCAGATGTCTGGTTGATTGCTAGCTTGTCTGATCAGTTTGATTAGCTGTTACCAAATGACAGCTAAATCTCCCCATCTCATCAAAGTGAAGAATTTAAAACTCATTTCAATTGTACTGAATCCAACCCCCAAACTGCCACGATTATATATCTCTAAGTCATTTTATACACTTATCACCTCTCCTCGCATCCCTGGCTGGGTGCCCGGGAAGGATGGCAGCAGGAACTGCTTTTCTTCTCCCTTGATGCATCCCTTGCGCTTGGAGCTCGGTGCAAAGCTGGGCAGTGCCGCCAGGCTTCCTCGTCCCGTCAATATTTAGCATTTAGTATCTACCAAAGGGTGTTCCTTTCTTTTCAAAGCACTTTGTTTTCGTGGGCCATGTGTAACAGGCAGAGGGAATAATAGTGCAGAGGTATTTCTCTGGCCCTCACCCACTTCTTTCCCCTGCATGTGTAAGACAACCCCAGCCGCTACCGCAGCTGTAGCCTTGCTAATGCAGAAGCTGCCTTAATGGCTATGTTGGTACCCTGCTTTAGCATTGCAGCAGCCATGCTTCCATTTTCTCACACCTGCATCTCTTTAAAAAGTGGTTATATTAAAACCTTGGCTGTTTGCTGACGGTAGAAATCTCCTATCCTCACTGCAAACAAAAGGCAAGGACATTTCTTTTAAAAGACTTTAAAAATACAAAACGATACCAAAGCCTGCCAAGCCCTGTTTTGGAGAGGAGCGCGTTAATGGCATGTTTGTATATTTAGCAAAATCAGCTTTGGGAGCCCCAGGAGGCAGTGCTGTTACCCCAAGCAGCTTGCAGAGGCACGCTGTGCCCAGCAGCCCCGCTGCCTGCACCGGCGTGGACGCCTGCCCACTGTGCCAGCCCCCCCATGGGCTACCAGCAGCAGCACTCATGGGGCACCCCGGGTGGAGCTGCTGGGGAGGCTGCCCTTGCTGGCCAGGTGGGGTCAGGATGCCCCCAGCACTCAGGGTGATGGCCCAGCAGCTTTTGGGGTCTTGGGTGGTGCAGGAGAGGCAGGTTGGATGGGAAACTCATCTGTCCAGCCCACCTCCCTCAGCACCTTTGTTTCTCCTTCCTCTTCCAGGAAACTCCCCTTCATCCCGACACATCAGTTTTGGTCCATCAATATTTTTTTCTCCTCTTACCTTGGGGTGTTAACCACAGGCATCTCTGTTTGGATGGAGGCAGTCTTTCTGTCCATAATTCTTACTGCCTTTCATAAATAATTCCATATAGCAAGCTGAGATGGCTGGGTTCACCCCATACATTTCCACGCCCGGTGTGGCTGCAGCGTGATGTGGGACTGGGGGAAGGGGCCAGCAATTCCCAGCCTCAGTGGCTGATGGCACTCATGCGGCTTTTTCCATCTCTCATGCCTGTCGGGGCTGGGCTGTGAACGAGGCCAAGCCAATTTATCCGGTTTCAGCCTGGTTTGGGTTTTCAGCATCTGCCTGTGAGCAGTGTCACCCCTTTGGCAAGACCACCCCTTTGGAAAGGTTGGTGTCACCCAGTAAGACCTTGTGGGACTCACAAGAACTCCTTGGGGCTGAAGCTGTAGTCTAATTTGCTGTTTTCCCTCTCCCAGATTTCATCTTCCAGAAGGAGCTATTTGCTGCCAGAGATACAGGTAAGCTGAGCGGACCATGGCATGGGTGTTGTGGGGTCATCACCTCTTGGGGAGGTGCTTCAGAGAGGCCAGTGGGACATGCCTGGGGCGTACCATAAGCATGCTGTCATCCCTGGGCTGTGCTCCTGCTGGGAGGTGGTCCCTGGTTCTGCAGAGAAGGGACCAGCGCACCCTGGCCAAAGGGCTGTCCCCAGCCCTGTCCCTGCTCCTTTCCCTGAAGCCTTGTGTGTCTCCTCCATTGCTAAGTGGGGACACAAAAAGTGCCTTCAAAGAGCTTCTGGGGCTGCAATGGCAGAGTAAAAACCCAGCAACGCCAGGAGATTTTCGAGCACTAGCCAAGAGCGATGCTGGCCTGGGAAACTGAGGAGACAGCAAACACTGCCAGCACGGGCTGGCAGGTATGGTAAGAACATCTCTTTCTGTCTCTGCTCCCCTTGCAGACTCCATGCACAACCTCTCTGCTCAGCCCTGGCAGGCGAAGATGGCCAACCTGACCTATGACAACTTCACCCTGAGCAACCACTCTGAGGTGGCTATCCAGCCTCCCACCAACTACAAGACAGTGGAGCTGGTTTTCATCGCCACCGTCACCGGCTCACTCAGCCTGGTCACCGTGGTGGGGAACATCCTGGTGATGCTGTCCATCAAGGTGAACCGCCAGCTCCAGACTGTCAACAACTACTTCCTCTTCAGCCTCGCCTGCGCAGACCTCATCATCGGGGTCTTCTCCATGAACCTCTACACGGTCTACATCATCAAAGGCTACTGGCCGCTGGGGGCCGTGGTGTGCGACCTGTGGCTGGCCCTGGACTATGTGGTGAGCAACGCCTCTGTCATGAACTTACTCATTATCAGCTTTGACCGGTACTTCTGTGTCACCAAGCCCCTGACGTACCCAGCCAGGAGGACCACCAAGATGGCGGGGCTAATGATTGCAGCTGCGTGGATATTGTCCTTCATTCTCTGGGCCCCTGCCATCTTGTTCTGGCAGTTCATTGTGGGCAAGAGGACAGTCCGTGAGAGGGAATGCTACATCCAGTTCCTCTCCAACCCGGCGGTGACCTTCGGCACGGCCATTGCTGCTTTCTACCTGCCTGTGGTCATCATGACAGTGCTGTACATCCACATCTCCCTGGCCAGCAGGAGCAGGGTGAGGAGGCACAAGCCTGAAAGCAGGAAAGAGAGGAAAGGCAAGTCCCTCAGCTTCTTCAAGGGCCCCCTGATTAAACAGAACAACAACAACTCACCCAAGAGGGCTGTGGAGGTGAAGGAGGAGGTGAGGAATGGGAAAGTGGATGACCAGCCCTCAGCACAGACAGAGGCCACTGGCCATCAGGAGGAGAAGGAGACTTCCAACGAATCCAGCACGGTCAGCATGACCCAGACCACAAAAGACAGGCCCACAACAGAAATCTTGCCAGTGGGGCAAGGACAGAGCCCATCCCACCCCCGGGTGAACCCGTCTTCCAAGTGGTCCAAGATTAAAATCGTCACCAAGCAGACTGGGACCGAATGTGTCACTGCCATCGAGATTGTCCCAGCTAAGGCAGGAGCCTCTGACCACAACTCCCTGGCCAACAGCCGCCCGGCCAATGTTGCCAGGAAGTTTGCCAGCATCGCCAGAAGCCAAGTACGGAAGAAGCGCCAAATGGCAGCCCGGGAGAAGAAAGTCACCCGGACCATATTTGCCATCCTACTAGCCTTCATACTCACATGGACTCCGTACAATGTGATGGTCCTCATTAACACCTTCTGTGAGACCTGCGTACCTGAAACAGTGTGGTCCATCGGCTACTGGCTCTGCTATGTCAACAGCACCATCAACCCAGCCTGCTACGCTCTCTGCAATGCCACTTTCAAGAAAACCTTCAAGCACCTTCTCATGTGCCAGTACAGGAACATTGGCACAGCCAGATAAACTGGCACTCAGGGACCACTTCAGCAACATCACGGAAGCCCTTCCCTTTGCCTCCTTTGCCGGGGGGGGTCCTCTGCTCCCCACTCACAACCGTGCCATCTGTGCAGTGATGGCAGATGATGCCCTTCATCCAATGCTGACAAAGGTCCAAGGCACCTCTGAGCTGCAACTCCTTCCAGTCACCCTGGGCCTGGAGACCAGCTTGGGGAGCCAGCGAGAAAGCCCAAAGCAAGAGGAAGAGATGTGGTCACCGGGAGCCCTCCCCAGCTCCCTGCTCCTGAGACACTGGCCAAACAGCATCAGTGTTTGTCCTAAGACTGTATGCCTCTTCTTCCCCTGGCTGACCGTCTCCAGGGCATCAGAGCTTGTCTGCATGCAGACAGCCCAATGCTGGATGCTTTCAATAGGCTTTTAAACCATTTATTACCCAAGAAATGAAAAGAAACCAGGGCCAGACATTTGCTGGCCATGTTGGACCAGGCTGGCTTGGGCGTGGTCATGGGACATCCTGCTGGCCCAGCCAGGCCCCCTCCCGAGGCAGTCAAGATTGTGCCCTAGCAGAGGTGGCAAGCTCCTTCCTTGCCCTTGAGAGATGCCATCGTGCATCCCCACCCAGGGACCTGGCGGGGGGGGATTTTTCCCTGGGCTTGGGCACCACTCTCCCCTTCATGCCCTTTCCACCCTCAGCCAGCAAATGGCTGGACAGACAGACAGACAAACCAAGCATCTCACTCCTGGCTGAGAAGTGTGAAACCCAGTCGCCTCCTACAACGATGGAAACTAAAACTGCAAAGAAAACCAGTAGTATGGCGCAGGACTTCTCTCCACAGCCCCGGGGGAACGTGGCCCCCGAGAAGTGGGCAGCAGTGACAGCGAAAATAACTCTCCTTGGGAGGGATGGGGGGAGGAGCTGGGGGGTTTGGGGGGGGGTCGGGAAGAGGGTCTGCACTGTGACCTAGGTGCCCTGTGTCTCATCTG